CGGTATCACTGCTCAGAATCGAGCTTATTGTCCAACCGGCAACCACTTTGTCTCTGTCACGTCAAAATGTCATGAATGCTGTAAGCAATGGAACGTGATAAGCGTTCCGCGCTTTTTGACAAGCGTTCCACAAGTTTTTCATATGCAAAAGAATATTAACAGCTTATCAAATTGAAAAAAATCATCTCGAAAACACATACAGACGGACAAGAAACACGGGGTTGAAAGACACATCGCACCGCATCAAAGTCGACTTCTCCGTGTAAAATTCATCTTTCAGAAGGCTCGCAGTCCCAAAACTAAGACATGAAACTTGTTCTACTGTTCCAGGAACCCATCTGCATCGAGACCACCAGTCTCGACTCTGTTCAGACCGCTTGGCGGGAGGAGCTCGGCTGTCACAGCGATATGGCCGCCCAGACGGGATGGTAATTAGCTCCATGGGGGCTTCCGGGACGACCTGATCACCGTCACAGACAGACGAGAGACTGTAGTCTGTCATAGATACATCCAAAACGGAGGCAGAAACGAATCATGAGCCAACTGGAACCTAAAGATTTCACGGATATTGGGAATTTAGGGGACGACTTGTCACGCATAGCGCAGGTTAAACCCAAACGGAGTTGGCATTACGGCCTTGTCCGACAGCCATTCTTTTCAAGGCCAAACGTCACAAAAAATGATGACATAAGTACTAATGCATACAACATCTCATATTTTATATAAGAGATTTAGCAATCACCTCACCTCAGACGAGCGTCTTCGACTTTCTTGGCTTTTGACCCGGCCTAATCCTACTACGGTTTACATGCTACATGCTTATCTTCACCGCAACCACTCTGAGCCTTGATCTGTATTGACGTAAGCAATCGTGGTAGGTCCCGGATCGGAGCTGAGCCCATTTGCAAATACGCACAGGCCGTGGGGTAATAAGATTTCCTCTCCAGGCAGTCTCAGGTGTGGAGCAGCAGCAGCCAGCACACGACGGAAATGGAATTAACTAGCCGAATCCGAGACGCACTTTTGAGCAAGTCGTGGAAGTAAATTTATTTCAGCTGTAATTGAACGTTTATCTACAACAGTTTGATGTAACTTATAGAGGAAATTCAATAATGGTTCCAGCCTCGCATACGACGTAGAGAGAAGGTGCGAAGAAAAGGAATCTGTATATTAATTCCTAAGGTAAAATCTTCGTCGAGTGGTCCGTGCGTCATTGCTCGCAGCCACCAGCAGCCTTTCAGTAGCTTACACTCCAACACCAATTCCCTCCATTCTTACCAGCGGGATGACGAAGGGCTCCTTGAAGCTGAGACACGAAGCCACCGTAAGCACGGGGTCCACGCACGAGAAGAGGGCCGCCATGATGAGCATCTTGCCCGTCTGCGGGTCCATCGGCAGGCGCGCCAGGTGGAAGCCCAGGGGTGTGAGGTGCTCGTCCGAGTCGAGCGCGCGCAACTGACGCAGCATCTGTGGTGAGGTGTGGGGGAGGGGAGGTGAGGCGATTGTGGAGGGTCTGCTCGGGACATACACGGCCATTTGCGCGATTCATTTGAGACATTAAAGAGAAATTTGTTTGGAGATAGCACCTAAAAAAAAAAAACGATTGAAATGAGCATCTTGTGTTTCGTAATTCAAGGCACTGACACAAAATGCGTCAAATGACATTGAAAAGGTCACCACAGCATTTCCAGACACTGGTACGCACATCGAGCGACAGTTTGACGGCCACAGCGGTCGGCTGGTCCATGGCTCTCTGCAGGAACGGCGCCACCGCCCCCAGCCGCAGGATCTTGATCTGGAGACAGAGCTCCTCCAGACGAGTGCGGAGGATCTCCGGTACAGGGTAGTCGGCCAGCGCCGCCTCGCGGGCTCGACTGTACAGGTGGTAACACTTGCCCGGCTGCACCCTGAGGAAAGGCGGGGAGGGAGTACGGTAAGCAGTGGGGCGTCGGGATGGATGCGATATTTACAGAGCTTGTGGGTAATATATAAAAAGAAGAAAAAATGCATTAAATGTGTAAAATGATAAAATCAATTAGGTTTTTTCTGACGATAACCCTCGTCCAGTTTTACGTTTCCCTTATGTCTCAGTGCCCGTCACTGTCCGTTTTGAATCCTTAAAACAGCAGTGAATTCATCAAAAACGTCCATCGATACTCGAAGCCACAAAACGACCATCACAAAACCCAAGGACAACAAAAGTAAGGAAGCTCCCTAACACCCATCTGTTAATGTCCTCGTAATGCGATTTGAAAACATATGAACGTGATAAGGTCTTTGATGACATCATATATAGGCTCTAACGTATGGCACAAGTGTAACTGCAATCGTGTGAAGTGACACCGCTCGCCACATTCTTTTGTCGGGCGGCGGCAAAAGCGCAACTATTCTCCGCACCTCACGCCCATACTCCAGCCTCATTTAACCCCCACTGGCCGCCAGCGTCAGCCACAACACGCGACTCAGGCATCCAGCCGTGCATTCCACAGTGCTATCAATCGATGCCACTGTATACACGCCAGTAACCATGGCAGAACCGTCACACATCCATTGTGACGGTAAGCGACCGCAACGCTACCTATTGTGACACCCCTTTCAAGTGTTAAAGTGTACAGCGAAGAACACGGTACCGAAAAATGAGTGATTTGTTGCGTGAAAAGGGATGCAGTTTGGCTTCTTCTGTGCGACAGTGAATTATATACTTCGCTGGGTAGCAAGTAGCCACTGAGAAGGCATTGATCCGAGTCCAATGAAGTGGAACGGATCGATAGCAATGTGACAATGCCAGTACCAAAGAAACCACGTCAATGTGCCAGTCAACGATTTCCCGAAAAGACACTGAACGTCATATCAGTCATTTCAATTGACCCGACATCGCTTAGTTCAGCTCGCGGACTGTCAAACGCACCACACATATAGTATCTTTCACGGAGTTTAACTTCATATCCAGGTTCATCAACCGTAACACAAGACCAACCAGAACTTCAATCACGCTAGTCCGAGACATGTCACCAGCAGGGATGCGGAGCCGGAGCCGGAGCCGGAACCGCCGGAGCCGGCATATTTTGCCCGGAGCCGGAGCCGGAGCCGGAGCCGTGAAACAATATAGCCCGGAGCCGGAGCCGGAGCCGGAGCCGTCAAAAAAGGGGGCGACTCCGGCTCCTTTTCTTAAGAGGAAACAATTATTTACCTAGTTCGGTTTGACAGTACAAGGCGTAAAACAATGTGGTATTCAAAATAACCTTGTTATACAAACACAGAAGCAACGTGTACCAATCCTATCGCCTTTTTTTCTTCCACCCGTATTTAATTGATCGCATAGGGGATGTACTGAGTAGAAGCCGGAGCCGGAGCCGGAGCCGCCATGACATTTCACCCAGAGCCGGAGCCGGAGCCGGAGCCGATTTTTTTTCTCCGGAGCCGGAGCCGTCTGAAATTTCCACGGCTCCGCATCCCTGGTCACCAGGCGTAGCGGAGTCATTGCCTTATCGCGGCTTCCTTATTCATCCAAATCCTTCCTGCACGTCGCATATGACACATGACACATCACGTGAGCTCTACTACCCCAGCGAATAACCCATGCGTCTACAACACGTGACTTTTGCTGCATCACAGCAGACGACGCGTCTACGGCGGCGTCTCAGTCTCATGTCGGCCTCTCCTGTCATGCATCTAAAGGGACGTACTATATAGCCACTACAGTACATTAGCCCAGCAGTGGACGGGGTCAGTCGGACGGACAGTCACTCAGGGGTGAGAAGACACCGGCGTCTACAGCACTCGGGCCGGGATAGTGCGTCAGTGGTCCCAGACAACGGACTCAGAACAACAGACAGCAGGCTAGACAACAAAGAGTAGACAGGATAATTAGGATTCCGATGGTAGCTATGGACACGATTCATTAGTTACACGTAACAAAAGATTGCCCGGATACAAACGAAGGCAATGATAGCCCGTCTCTGGGCAGACAGCAGAGAGCCAAACATAATGTCTTGGGGGGGGGGGGGGAGTATAATCGTAATGAACGACTTACGACGGTGACAAGTTGTTAAACTGGAAACTGGCTCAGGGGTGGGGCACTTCGTTACGAATTTGGGGAGAGAGGGCGGCAGAAAGAGAAAGGAGTGGGAGAGAGAGAGAGAGAGAGAGAGAGAGAGAGAGAGAGAGAGAGAGAGAGAGAGAGAGAGAGAGAGAGAGAGAGAGAGAGGGAGAAGAAGATCGATAATCTGAGGAGAAGCGACGTGACCGGAAGATCCTTAGAATGAGTCGCTGACTTTATTATCTCGCTTCTCTAACCATTTATCGTTTTCCGGGACTCCGATCTTTTCTAGCCCACAAACCATATAACAAATAGTCGCTAAAATTGAGCGCTACGGCTCGACCTTATCAGTGCATTTATTAGGACGTCTAATTCAGCGTACAGGCTTATCGCTCGCTGTTTACCAGAGTGTGTCACATTGCAGAAATTTATCAGCACAATGCATCAGGTCGCGATGCGGGGAAAATACATTTGTTTAGCATACTAATAAGCAGTAGGTACTGTTCGCAAAAATGTTGGTAGAACGGCATGTGTTGCCCTTACGGCATGATGTTGCAGCATCCAATTACAAAAGGTTGCCCGATTATTAAATAAAAGCGACTTTTCTCTACAATTGGTTTCCATGATAACTCAACCTATGTTTTAAGACTTGTACAGGGTGTCTCAAAAGTTCGTTCTCACATTATGTTTGCATGTGAAACAGAGTACATTGCGTTTTGATATATTTATGACCCCTCAATGTGCTCCCCATTTAATAGGCAAACACATGAATGCATGCTGCGGCATACCAACCGGCATGTTTGGCTGCATAGCAAGCTTAAAGTTAACACAGACTGACTTGACATGCACCGTGAGCTCCCCGAGGCTGGAACAGCGCTACGCTTCGACGAACCTCAATTTCAGCATAACCAACACATTTTTATGAAATTTTGATCCGATGAGGTGCCTGGCATGTGATCTTGCCACAAACGCCTGTCACAGTCTTCTTGCACCGCTTTTAAGCTTTGCTTGACCTGTGCACTGATGCACTGTCTTGCCTGAAGATGGGCCTACGACCTCCCGGATGCCATTTTCTCCTCTATAAATGTGTTCATACTCGCGGTTCGAGTTCAGCTTGAGGGCTGAAACTCCTCCTAGATGTTCTTGGAAAAGCATTCTGCTTCCCCAAACTGTTTCTGGGTTGCCACTTGCAACTTGGTCAACTCCAGAACGCCTATAACCCAACAACACAGTGGCCATTGCCTTTTGCATAGGAACATAACAGGACGAAACGGAGGCCTCCTCCTTCGCCCTTATGGGGTTGTTTTCGGGTTTGGACGGGTGTTTCATCTCGAACGTGGACTAGTTAGTCCAGATGACGTGGTTAATGTCATCAGCCCTCTAGTTTTGTTTAGCCTCAGGCATAACGAAACTCATGTTTGGCCATTTTAACCCGCGCCCGGCTGGGGGTCCTGGATTTCCACGCCCTGCTGGGGGGGGGGTGTTTGAACACCCCCCCTTCTAACTCGGCTCCTGGGCCACGTAGCGATACGCGGAAGGCGGCGTTCGAAAGAGCGTCAAAAATAATGAGGAAATCACTTCGGTCAATTTTTTGGTCAGGTCAAAGGTCAGGTCACCAGAGGTCATTGAAGGCAAAATTTCGCCGATTTCCAGGTCGAATGTCAACAATTTCCAAGAAGCCAACGCATAACTCAAGAACCAATAGAGCTACAGCGCCGCGGAAAAGCGCATTCGATAGCCCTATTAACGCCCTTTCTGAGTAATTTTCTCAGATTTGACCTAACGTTAACGGTTTTGCCTGCAGGGGGCAAAAACTGCAAAAATAGCCGATTTTTTTCGGAAACAGTCTTTCTGCAATAACCTTTGACCCAAGCCTTGTACGAGCTTACTTTTACCGGCATCGTGTTCCTCTCGTCAAGACGCATCGAATGAACTATAACTTGACCTTGAAAGGTCAACTTGAAAATTTGAACTCAGGTCAAGGTCATGACCTGACCGGAAAGGGTCATGTTGCATATCAGTCAATCCGTATCGTCGAGCTGAACACATCTAAGGCGTTTTCATCGCTCTAGCATGCCTCTATCAAAAGTTATTTGCGAAAAACTGTTAAATACCATTCGTGACCTAAGATGACCTCAGGGCATAAACAGGGGTCACGGACACCATTTTCATGTTCAGTGTGTCTAAACCACTTGTAATTCAGTGTTTGGCAGTGTTTATAATGTCTTTCGTCCAAAAGAGGCGCATTTCAATTTTCTCCCATTGACTTATAATGGGGAGGTCGCAAAATTGACCTGACCTTAGGCCATCGATATCAAAATTCTGAGATATACATTTTGTACATGCTATTGCTCTTAGCAATCGCTGAAAGTTTCAAAGCGATCGGTCACTCGGTGTGGCTATGACAGACATTGAAACTTTTTATGAGGTGAGGTCACTTCAAGTGACCTGGTGACCTGACCTTGAATGACCTTGGTCTAAAATTTTAACAACATGTGTAGAATTGATGTATGATAAGGTGTACCAAAAACGGCGGCGCTCCGCGCCGCCGTTTTTGAGATATTCGCGAAAAACCACAAGGGGGGGTGTTCAAACACACACCCCCCCAGCAGGGCGCGGGTTAAGACGTTTTTGACTGTTTTGTGCCCTCCGGTAAGCAAAGCTTAAGTCACCTCGAGTTATGTACCCCGAAAGAACACTCTTAGACAGCTGGTAATCCATCCTGAAAAGTCTGCTTACCAACTTTCTAACCCTTTAACCTTTTTGATGGCCACTTTGGCGCCACACAGTTTTGGCCGCTTGGCTCACTCCTGAGGGCTGACTGGAAAGAGGATAAACTTGCAGTGATTGACTCCCGACAAATCATCGGCGTCACTTGCTGAATGTGCGTCCAGTTAGCGATGGACATTGGCTACAGACTGGTAGGCCTCAATCACCCTCAATCGTCGCGAATGGTCACGTGCTGACTAAATACTGAGACGTACCCGTATCGGAGACCTCTATGTTGCGGCGTAAGCCGTCTCTGTAGGAAGCGGGCTCTTTAGCAAAAACGATTTTGTTTACAGAAATTAGCTACTGTGGAGCATATTTCTACCAGCCATGGCAACCACGTAAGTACAGTTACGAACCAATTTCAGCGTGCCTTTAAGCACGAGAGCCTAAAAACGTAAAATTTAGGTGAGAACGAACTTATGGGACACCCTGTATGCTTTCTTCGGCAGATGAGTTTACTTTGCTTCTCCCATCTTCTCACATGGTAATAACGAACTTATTTGCGTCAGATAAAGACGGAAGACACTATACTTACGTAACGGAAAGTAGGTACATTGTCGCATCAAACCACATGCTATGTCTGGCGTTAACATTTCCAAGAAGCCCCGGAAAAGCTCGAATTTTAATTTCTGCAACGCTTGCAGCAATACCACGCTACACCTACACTCTAGCCTCAATTTACAACAATATTAAGTTTCATAAGCAAAAACAAACAACGAGAAGGAAATTAATTCCGACAGCCACACGAAAAGCTCAGAGTAGTGCTACAGCCCGGTACTTGAAATACGCACCAAGTGTCTTATGAAATGTGATGTGGCTGTGATTTATGTATGCACACAAGGAGCATAAGACGTGCTATGTTCTCCGTGTAAGCTCGCATGTGATTCAACATTCACACATCTACGGAAACTTATGATCAGGTAAGCTTGCTTTCCGTCGATCTAATCTCCTAATAACAGCTTGCTTGTGTTTTGTCAGCGTTGCTGCTTACATACATACAGTTGCTGCTTACCTTCCTGCACGTCCACGCCGTTGTCTCGAGTTGGCCTTGCTCACCCATTCGGGCTTCAGAGTCCTGAGGAAGGACAGGACGCTCATTAGTTAAGCAAATCGCCGTTCAAATTGCGACTACCACAAACCTAAATGCATAGTTTGAGAAATTAACGTCGATCCGTTCGTGTTGATTAGAGACATCAGATAGCTGTAACGCATTATTGTCCAGTCTTCGTTTTAACTGAGAATGTACGATTTTCCGAACGCATGATGTCCTCGGCACTGATGTGGGACAAAAATAATCAGGTGATTTTCCATATCCTTTGTACTCCGAAGCGCCATTCAAGCCAATCACATATTTAAGTGTCGCGAAAAAAACGGCATATTACCAGCAGACCCCAATTCAGAATGACAAAAGTCGTTCATTTCAAGCAATGACAACATCTCAGTAAAGCACACAACCAACTACTAGTCGAAGTCAGATGGAGCTAAAAAATTATCTCACCAGCTGGATATTCCCGAAACCTTTATACCGCAGGGCGCAGGCCATTATCTAAAGCGTCATCGCTCATCCGAGATCCGCAAAGAAGCAAACCACTCACATGCATCCGACGTTGCGATTTTTGTCGACGTTCTTCATCTTGACCTTGCCGCCGTCGACGACGAAGACGACGTCGTCGATGGTGATGGAGGTCTCGGCGATGTTGGTGGCGATGATGATCTTCCTCTGGCCGGGCGGCGGCCGCTCGAACACCTCGCGCTGCTCGATGGTCGGCATCATAGAGTGCAGCGGCAGGATCAGGTACCGGCTGCCTGTCGAACGACGGAGGGAGCGGATGGTGGGGTGAAAATAAATTATAAATGAACTACAAATCAACTTAAATATCAACTAGGGGACCAACAGCTATGGACCATAGGCAAGTTGGTACCGGACGAACGACGTGCAAACGTTCGATTGGTATTAGTAACAGTCATACGTCAGAGCAGCTGTAACCTCAGTCCGGTTTGGCCACCGTCTGTAGATTTAATGCGCCCCTTTGAATCAAATGACGCGAGCGAATACGATCGCAAAACATTAAAGCTTCAAGGCTCTATCAGAGATCAAACTGCGCAAGTTCTTTCATGGCCAGACGCAGAGCGCGGCCTAATCACATTTCCATCCCATCGAATGGTCCATTTCACAGCCGAATGACGCAAATCGGCTCTCAAATTACCATCTCCAGTGATTTAGGATCGAACGAATATCATCAAAGCATGCGTATCTAACGCATTAACTTTGGATTGAAATTGGTACCCAACAGCACGGTCGCGTATCGATATCATCAGGATTTATTTCGGATGCAACCATATATCTCCCCATTGACTTTAATAATCATTAGCGAGGCGATTGCCATCATCGCACAGCAATTAGCGCAAATTGACTCATTTACCGGTACACGTGTGCGGGCGGTCCGCCCGGGCCGGATCAGGTTTCCCTAGAACCCTTCCCCTCCTCCCACACCGATCCACACGAGCACGAAGCTGCGAGCACGGGTTCTACCGAACCGGAACACACGACTCCAAATTGGCCAGTGTAATAAAGCGGTGGGTATCGGCATGACAGTGTAATGAAGCGGAAAGCGGTGGGTATCGCCGCTGTGACCATTAAAGAATTGACACCGAGCCCTGGACGTGTGGTGGTAACACCTCGGAAACGTGACCGGTAGCGGCGGTGACGTCACGTGACGTCATCAGAGGCATGTGGAGGCGGGTGTGGAAGATAGCGTTACAAATTACCGACACATATAGAGTTACAGACGATTGTGCACTAATTGAGCAGCAGTTCCGCTAAAAGAACGGTTAATGACCAACACCCGACCGGACTGACTCAGAAACTGTCCGACTCAGACTCAGTGCCTCACCGACTCTAACTCCCAACTCACCGACTCGTACCTCCCGACCCACCGACTCTCACCACGACTCACCATCGCCAAGCACGGGATCCTCCTTGATGGCCTTGTGCACCTTGCCGATCTCATCCCAGCCGCTGAGGAAGACGAGCACGGCGCCCTCCTGCGGCTGTTCGCGGAGACAGACGTGGCGCACGGTGGCGACAAACAGGTCGGGATCGAACTGCTCCGACTCGGGTACGGACAGTGAGCGAAGCACCTGATCAGAGTACGGCCGGACCGCCGGCGGCGCGCTGGCCAGCTGACTGCGAACGGGAGGGGGGGGGGGGGGGTCAGGGAAGGTCAGGTTAGAGGCATGGTGTTGGGCGATGAGAGGGCAATGCAATATATCCGTCTCACAATATATGTAGACATCAAAAAGTTGCATATTATTATTGAGAGACACAAACAGATATGAATAATGTCAACATCCGGAGCGCGAAAACAGCTCCACGTTAGCATCTTGTTTTCTTTTGTTGGGTTAGGCCCTTTCGGTCCAATGACACCATTGCAGAGCCGGGAGGATGATAGAAATTAGGGGGAGATATTGGTCTGGGCAGGCACCCTACTCCTAGTGAATTGCCGGGGCTGAGCCCGTCCGAATGGACAGGCCGCCCAGCCCTCAAGCACTCACTGCACCCGGCTACGGGGTCCCGGCTACGGGAGCGGCACGCTGCTCTCTCGGGAGCAGCGTGCCGCTCCAAGGGAGCAGCCCGCATGAGATAAAGGTGCCTGTCCAGCCCGGATCAGGGGCTGCGGCGTGGATGGAAACTGAGGATGGAAACGACCGAACGGGTGACCGTGAGGATCATGACACAGACCGGCGACTACAAGTCACTGATACCATCTGCAAGAAACCAAATGCCTCATCACCAGTATAGAGATTGTTGACGGACCGTATAACCACATCAACACGACAGCGATGTCAAAACAACCCACCTGACGTAGGGATCAATCAGCTGACGGAACTCTGCCGTGCGCTCGGCGTTCTCCTGGCGCTGACTCCACCGTGGCCGGCCGCCGCCCTGAGAGCCACCTCCCGGGAAAAACTGGAACCTGAAGTATAAGCCACCAACCACCAGGGTTAGACGTGAACGAGAACATATCCAACGGTCCGTTATCATAATAAGTTGAACGATCTTCATCATCGAAAATCACCCAAAAACACATAAGTTTCCAATAATAACACCATCATGCCATACCCCTCCATCAAACTACAGCATCAGCCCTCCGCACAAACCCCTCCCCCATCCAGGCAGTACTCTCCCCTCCTCCATCCACCCGAGCGCGTGCGAGACGTACCCGGTCATCTGTAGCACGTCCTCCAGGTAGAAGGCCTCCACCGGGAACGCCCTGCCGGGGATGTGCGCCATCGGACAGTTGTTGAAGTAGGCGGAAAACTCGGCTGAGTTGATGGTGGCACTCATCAGGATCAGCTTCAGGTCCGGCCGCTGTGGCAGAAGAGGGAGGAAGAAGGGCGATAGACGGGTTAAAAGGGGTAATTCATGGGCAAAGTCTGACTAGCGTTCGGAAAACGAATAATGAGGATGTAATCCATCGGCAAGTATAATGTGGTGATGGCAGTCATTTGGTGATAGCATACGAAGGTAAACACGGCAATGCCACGACTAAGTAATAAGTTACTATGAATTAGACAAACAGTGGAAGCTTACCATCCACCCGCCATCGCACCGATCCTTTGCGACCCGCGAGACCACAAATCCACGAAGCTCCCTACACCAGGAAACAGACTAAAACTCCCCCTCGCTACTGACCGTCGGCAGGATGCCTTTGACGATGGTGACCAGGAAGTCGCTCAGTGTGTCCCGCTCGTGCACCTCGTCTATAACCAGGTGGGAGACGCGCGCCAGGGTGGGCTCCGTCTGCATCCGCTGCAGCAGCACGCCGGTGGTACAGAACAGGATGGAGCCCTGCGGGCGCGGCTGGCGGCTGAGGGAGGCAGAGGGGGAGAGCTGTGAAGGTCGTCACGGACACTCGATGACATTAATTGCCTGGATATTGAGACGTTTAACCGCATGCGAGTCTGGGACTCGGGGAAGAGCTCTTTTGCCACTTTTGAGCACACTGGTAGGTGTAATGCATTTACGAATTCCATGATCACGAACCCCCCCCCCTCCCCTCCTTCCCATGAACTCAATGCAAGGAACTCTAAACAACATCTATTGTCGCGTAAACCTGCGGGCAGAGTTGGCCTACGTTACGTTATTTTGAAGTTTTCGGTAACCCGTAGCTGTCAGTACCGTTTCGTAGCGTAATTGGGATGTTTCGGTAGCGTAGTACGGAAAATAATAGAATAACGTAGGAACTACGAAATGGATTCCGTAGCAATTACAGGTCAGCTGTATTTGTATAAGGTACATAATTTTTTTCAGTTTACTCATATTGTCACCAGACCTCCGGCCGCTTACACGGATGTGAGACGCCTGCTATATGAATACCACTGAGTCTTTCTTCCGGCCGGACCGACACCGGGGATTTCCCACTGGGGAGTCCCAGGGAATTCCCTGTCGGAAGTCCAGCGCATCTAGCGAGTAGCGCGTAGGCACCGCCGCACCGACGATGCTGCAAAGCCGGCGATCATTGTGCGCAGTATTTGGCTTACTAGAGACTAACTGTTTCCACTGGGTAGTGGATGATGACATATTGCATAACGTACTACGATAAAATAATTTGCTGCGTTAATTAACAAATACCGTAATTCAGTAACGTAGCAATATATAACGTATCGTAATTCGGTATTGTAGTTTTGGCCAAAAAAGCAAACGTAGCGTAACGTAGTGCGTAACGTAGCGTAGCGCAGGCCAACTCTGCCTGCGGGTCAAATGTTTGCGCCTTCCCTCAACTATAATGCCCTTTGCCTGCTGTAACCCTATTTGTTTCACCAGGCCCACAGATTCTATAAATCCTAAAATCCAACACAGTCACAGGCGCGACACTCACTGGTCCAGTCGGATGGCGTATCCGACCTGACCGCCGCCTGTGGAGCTGACGGTCGCGCCCCGCTCCCTGGCCACCCGCTCAGCCACTGTGACTGCGGAGATCCGGCGGGGCTGTGTGCAGACCACGTGGCAGAGCGAGCCACGTCCGGCGGCGGCCGCCTCCTCCAGCAGGTACTGGACCACCTGGGTGGTCTTACCACAGCCTGCAGGAAAAGCGAACGAGTGTTATACCAGTATCGGACGTCGGGCGAGAGATGCTTAACTCTGCAAGTCCCATATATATTTACAGAGCTAAACCCAGGCCGTTATAAAATATTTCCAACTAAAATGATATCACGCTCTCTTACGAAAGGTGGTCGGTTTAAGCACTGCATATTAGATAACGTTCACATTGTTTGCCTGTTTGAAGGCAATAGTTTTCCGACGCGTCTACAACGAAGTCGCTTTGCGCCCATTTTCACTCCCCCCTCTCCCTTCAACGATATATCACCCACAACTCTCTGCCTCCCATCCCCAGTCTCACCAGTCTCGCCGCTGATGACCACCACCTGATGGTGGCGCACCAGCTCCAGGATATGAGCGCGCTGCTGGTGCGCCGGCAGACTGTGACGGAACTCGTCCAGCGGCCCGGGCCGGCCGCTCTGTTCCAGCAGCTCGGCGTCAATGGCTGCCACCCGCTGTAGCCCGTCCCGCTGCGGGTCGTAGCTGGGAAGGGGGAAGGGAGGGTGAGCTGAAGAGAGTAAGCGATGTTTATGAATGGTAGTTACGCAATAAATCGTTGATACTGAAAGTTGTAGTGAGCCAAGATAACAGTATAGATCAGAAGCATAAATGAACAAAAATGTGTAGTGGAAAGTGATTCACAAAATCAAGCGCCAAAGTATGCATGACAACATCACTTCAGCCACGAAGGTCATGAATGAGCATCTTCTGAAATCTGAGCAATGGTGACAATCTCGATGACATAACATAGACAATACATTCGGTATGTAATCTTTTACATAAATGGGCCCTATTTTTTTCGACTGAGAGTTCACATTCTCATAGCCTAGACCATGACTCGAACTACATGCCTATCCTGCACCCGTTCCCACCTGAGGTTGTCCCAGTCGCGGTCCTGGTTCCCGATCAGATTGGCCAGGAACTCCTGTTTGAACCGGGAGTCGGCCAGATGGCGGTACTTGTTCGCCAGCGACGGGTCCAACTTGCTCACTACGTCATCGACTTCGGGCGCCGGTAAGTCGTCGGTCGTCTCCCTCTCTCGGCTACCGTCAGCCGTCAAACTTTCACACTTCACAGAACCAGTGAAAGATTCGGACTTCTTCAAGCCGTTTCCAATCCCTTCACTCTTTGTGACGTCTTCTGCAATTTCTTGTTTTATTTTTACGTCATCCATATCCATTTGCTCTTCTTGTTTGACCGTGGCCGCCGTAGCTGCTTCTTTGTCGGCGGACAACGTATTGCCTGCCGACGACAGATCAGTCATTGAACCCATCTTCGCCTCGCTCTCCGTCTTATCATCATCATCTGGGAGCTCGGTAAGCCGCGGGTCCGCCTCGTAATCCTCCCCGTACACATCCAAAAACGTCGGCAGTGCCCCAGCAGCATCCTCCTCCTTTGCAGATGGAGCTGACGATGGCGTCGACGCCGTCGCGGTCGACGGGGCCGGTTCGGCCGGGCGCGCGGTCGCGGGGGGCGGTGACGGCGGCCGTCGGCCGGACCGCTCCAGTACGGACCGAATGCGCGTCTCTCGCTCCGGGTCCGAGCTAAGCGTTTGGCACTGCATAGAAACAGAGAGAAAAGTCATGGATAGAGGTCACATTCGAAATCCAACGGGTGCAACGGCAAACAATGCATGTCGAGGTCATAACAGGAAAACAGGACACTGACAGTGATTAAACGAAGGAGCAGAAACACTGAATAATAATCAACAGAAATATCAGGCATAAAAAGCACAAAACACTTTGAGCTCACATGTCGGTATTTGCGCCCTCCGCCGCGGCCGCCGCCGGCCCTCAGGGAGCGGTCCCGGTACCAGAGGCCCAGCGCCCGCCCCCGCAGTCCGGGGGGAGGACGGTCACTGTCCTCGTGGGCGGCACCATCCGGAGGACCAGAAGGGCCGGGGTACGGCCGACCGCCGCGCGGAGGGCCGCCTCGCCAGCCGCCGAAAGGTGGACCGCCTCGTCCGCCACCGAAAGGCGGGCCACCTCGCCAGCCGCCGCCATTTCCGTGGCCCCTCCAGCCTCCTGGGGTAAAGAAGGTAATAGCAAAGGTTTAAGGTGGCAGACTGAAGGCTGGGTGACAGAATGCAATCTTAAGTGCAAGGAAAATGTATTTATTTGAACAGATTATAAAGATTTATTTGAACTATCTAGGTGTTACTTACTTTGTCTGTGACTAAAAAACAGTAAAATCTGCATATCATGTAAATAGTCACCTATTTGATTTCAAAACAATGTAAAGAAGTGATGCATGATGATTATGATTCCCTCATATGTTGTTATACAGTCTTAGTCAAGGCAGTCAGACTGTATACAGTAATTACCTCTGCCCCAAGGTCTCTCCATGGATCACCGCAGAGCTTCTTCAATTAGTTGGCAGTTCTCAGTATTGCCTGGAATAAAGGAGAGAGCTTGTAGCACTCCAAACTCTGCTAAAGTCATGAGGCATAAAACCATGGACCCTGCCTTATTCAGATCGAGCCTGAAGGTAAGGTCACATATCTAGAAGAAGCTCCCTTCCCTGAACAAGACACTCTCCATCCAGCAGTTGCCAGTTACTGTGGGTATCATTTTAGTCAATGGCAGGGCTGCGGAGTCGATGGATTTTACGGTGACTCCGACTCCGACTCCGACTCCGGCTTCAAAAATCGACTCCGACTCCGACTCCAACTCCGACTCCGATTCCGGACGGTTCTATTAAAATCCATATCATGATATTGAAGTTCATGACGGAGACGTTTTTATCTTGCCTGAAACGATTCCTTGCGCGTTCCAAGGCTTTGCGTTGCAAATATGCGTTACAAATAACATGCAGAATTAAAAAGCAGGGTCTGGGGAATTCACAGTCTTCTGCTTCTTTCGCTGAAAACGTTCGTCCAAAACAGCAACACGGCCTTTTTTTCGACAAAATCTCATTTCGAGCGCAGTATCGTTAAGTAGACAGGTGCAGTGCATGACGTTGAGACATGCAGCGTTAACTCCGACTCCGGAGTCGGAGTCGGTAAGATTTTGGTGACTCTGACTCCGACTCCGAGCAGAACTGTTGACTCCGACCGACTCCAACTCCGACTCAGACTCCGACTCCGCAGCCCTGGTCAATGGTATAACAGCCTCTCTAATTTTCTGGCCTCCTGGGTCCTGGGCACAGCCGTTGGGCATTGTGCCCAAGACCCAGCAAATGCAATGACATATCCTGATTCCTGAAACCATTGTAAGAATAAAACACAAGGCACCGAACAAAAGCTCATGAGGAGATGTTTATTATCAGTTCTTGAATTACTTGCTTTGTCTGTATCTGGTCAGCAGCCTTGTCTGTACTCTGTGGTTGTATGGCATCATGTTTCCAATTCAACTGCAACATGTGTAGCCAACAAGGGCCCTGTTTGGTCACTGTTTTTATATTAGAGTGCTGTCGGTTTTCCCCATATAAGGAAGTTATGGTATTTGTATATATTAGGTCCGAGTGGACAATTGTGACGCTGTTGATACAAATATGTAACACAGTAAAAAATTTAGGTTTTAGGTTAGGTTAACCTAACCTAAAACCTAAATTTTAACCTAAAACCTCAACCTAATTAGGTTGTAGGTTTGTAGGTTTGTAGGTTTGTAGGTTAGGTTAGGTTGTAGGTTTGTAGGTTTTATGTTTTAGGTTGGTAGGTTTGTAGGCTTTAGGTTGTAGGTTGTAGGTTTGTAGGTTGTAGGTTTGTAGGTAAATAGGTAAGGTTAGGTCAGGTTTGATTATGTTTTCCTTTTATTTCCAGGACATTAAAGTATCATTTTTGGATTCAGGATGTCAAATAATGTAAGAATATGAAAACTTTATATTTAAACAGTCACTCGGACTTAATGTATACTTTTACCGAAGTTATTGCTGGCGCTTCTTGGCCTCTCATTGGTCTAACGAATAGACCACTTGAATTCGACCAATGAGGAGCCAAGAAGTAGCAGCATGCTCGCAGCCTGCTGATAAATAAACGGGGGGGGCGAAAGACCTAAGGTATTGATATATTGATATAGCAGGGCAATGTTTCACTGCAGATGCTGCTACCATGCTGCTATCATGAGCATTTCATGACCTGATGACCCACACTTTGGGGCAGTGTTGGAGATCCAAGATAGGCGTTTGTTTACCTATATCTTGATCTACATGGAAGCCCAATTTGGCACATGTGATAGCAGCATGATCCCCAAATATCAGGTATCAGGTATCAACTATCAGGTAACATAATGCCCAAATCTTCTAAATTCCCGGAAATGCTTGAACCTTTCAACACGCACCATGAATGGATGAACTCTATAGTGTATGCAGCAGCTATGCAGCTATAGTCCGTTTCTCTTAAGTTTGCCCCTCACTGTAAACGTCTCTTTGAACACAGCACGAGAATTGCTAGCTGAATTACTGAGAAAACTGGTAAGCGCACATTGTATTGTAGATATGAATAATATTTTCAAAAATAAGTTTTAAACATCGACGATTTAACGTTATGTTAAGCGCCGTGCAATTTATTTATTAGTTCAGACATAATTCCTGAGAAGTCGTCTATCCCTGCGAGGCTGTAGGTATTGGCAGATACGATTTACGAGTCTGTGAAATAGTAAATAAATTTGATGAAATTGATCGTCTGTGAAATCTGGTTAAATCAGTGTGCGCCAACCAGTTTTCTCAGTAATTCAGCTAGCAATTCTCGTGCTATGTTCAAAAAGACGTTTACAGTGAGGGTCAAACTTAAAAAAAACGAACTATATCACGGTACATAGAATACTAGGTAACACCGGTTTGTCCGCTCAACACAGGGCCAATGGTCACCACTTTCTTCAGCTGACGTCTGTGACCTTGAGCTGACCTAGGATGATAAACAGCTGACAATTTAGGCCATTTGGAGCTCACTTGACAGCTGAAGAGCGTGATTTAAAATATAAATATTTGTCAGGCACTTACAAAAGATATTATTCACCAGTCATTTTTTAAGCACATTCTGTCATAAATTAGCTGACTCCCTCTGGTCTTCCACACGGCAGAAAATGCAAGTGCAAATTCTGCCGTCTTGAAGTGAGCCAAACGCTTATGATGCACATGATCGTTTCTCTCAGAGCACAACGGAAACTGCGAGAAAACAAGAGAGAGTCGGACTCTACAAATGAATGAATTTGGAAGAAAAATAGCTGTATTTTTTCCTATGGAAATGTAGACTTTGAAAACATTGGCCATCAACTTTAAAATTGCCCCCGAATATGAAAATGTGTGAATTGACAAAACAGGCAATCTTGCTGTTTTTGCCCAAGTTTGTTCATGATTGAGAGAGATTCGATGCGAAAATGCACTGATATATACTTTTGAAAGCGAGGTCTCGATCAGTGTGTTAATTTTGATTTTTAACTTAACGCTAGTCCCACTTTTCCCTCCAAGAAAATATATTTGTCAATTTTTCAATAATCATATTATGCGTCATTGCTTTAAAAATAAAGAGAGTCGGACCGTAATTCTTTCAAAATGACCGATAATGCTCAATATCTACCGGAATATATTAACAGATTGGCCAGACTCATTGGCTAAATATGTTTAAATTGCATTTTTCTTACTTTCTGCAGATTTTCCTGCAAAATTTTACTGTAGTTTAAGCTGCGTTTCCTGCAGATTGTGTTCACAGACCAATGGGAGACAAGTATTTCTTCATCAACAGGTTTATTCGCCATCAATTGGTCTAGCGGGTGTTTTTCGCATGCGCAGCTTATGTCACAGCAGCGTAAGAACACGTTCGCTTTAAATCATTATGGATATTTCTTTTCTGAATAGGCGGGATTATCGTCATTAACTAATTACTTGATATATTTTAATGGGGAGTGGTGTAATGCCCGCACGACTGTTGACTTTCATTGTAATTGCTTGAGCTTGTTCCTGGGCTGCCTCAGATAGCAGAATGGTGTGTCAAGTATCATGGCCTGACAGGAAGGTGGGTACCCAGACCCCTAGCTCAATATTAATCTCAGATGAAGCCCGTATATATGTCATAGAGATTGTTCAAGTTTTAACCTCACCTACATATAACCTAACATAACCTGAAATAACCAGACATGCTAGAACCCTTATTTTGGTCAAATGCTGATGAGCAGAAAAATATTAACTTTTTGACGATTTGCCATGCCTACCTATTGCTATGTCTGGACGAGGGTTTCTCGGTTACTGTGTAGATAAACTATGGTGAAGATAAAAAACATCATCTACCCTAGCCTAACCTTTGCGTACTAAACTACCACTTTTGGTAAATGTTCAGAAAGAGTGATTCACTTTTCAGGCATACATTTTGTACATTCTTGCACTATTTGACATCCTGAATCCAGATATGATATTTACATGTGATACAAATACAAAACAAAAATCAAACCTTACCTAACCATATGCCAGACTGGAAAACATCCATGCACTACGCCGGATGCCAGTGAGACGAAATTCGGCGCAAGCGATTTTGCGCCGAAATTTCTGAGTGATTTGCGCCAAAACTTAGGTGCCTATTTGTGCGAAAATTAAAGGAAACAGTCCACTTTCCTGAAATCAGTATTTTGCTATTGATTTATGATTTTTTATGCTCAAAATAATCATGAAATAAAATAAAACCTTTTTGTAAAAACAATTATTTTCTTTATTTTAATATAGGGCGAACTATATTCTATGTAAAATAATGTTTCACGCGGAAGCTTATTACGCATTGACCAATCATATTGCGTAGCTCAAACCTACGAATACTGCATTGGCTGTAAGCAGCACGCTGATTGGCTGACGATGACGTGGCTGCATTCCTGTGCAAGGCACGCATTCCTCTACAAGGCACTCTTTTCGGAACGAGAAATGGAATTTCTTCGTCTAGGGTGATCGTTGAGCCGTAAAAGCTCCTGATTTGTGCTAGTCTCAGCTCAAGCTACGAAACTGCTATTCCAGCTCAAAACCCCATGTTAAAAGTGAACTATTTCCTTTAAGCCCTTTTCATATAAAGCACATGTGCACATATACTGATCAAGGCTATATCAACCAGGCAGAGTGTTTCGGGGCTTTGTACGCTATCCCATGTTTGAGCGTCCGAATTAGTTTTTATTTCCACGTAAACCCAATACCTCGGTGGGAGCCAGCGAGGGCCCGGCAGCGCAGCAGCACGTGCTCCGGCACATCAGCCTCTTCTCGGCTCACGGTGCAGAGCGCCGCTGGGCACCGCTTGTCTGGGCACTGCTGACACGCGGCGGAGTGGAGACAGCCGATTCGGTGCCGTATTGGAGCGAGATGCCCCAGTGGCCGGCCCTCATCTGGTGCACCGAAATGGCATCCTCTCGGTCCTCTCCGGGGAGAGGGAGCGGCGGCGTGCTCCCGAGGAGTGGCTTGAATAGTGATTCTGAGCAGTTGTCGCGCCACTGATGCGAGGCCGCACAATGAACCGCCCTGGTCAGCGATCGGGCGTTTGAGGGCAGGGCGGCCGCCAGTTTTGCCAGATCGTCCACGCTCTCATTCCCCTCGATACTGCAGTGGGCAGGAACCCACTGCTATTGCTTAACGACGCTTGGCGACGTTCAACAACGTTTTCCATGCCTATCTCTACGCCGAAGGTTGAGGCCTCACCTCCCAGTAAAAAAAAACATTTGAAACCATTAGGATTTACCAATTGGTTTCAAATGTGTCAAATGGTTTGAAATAGGTTCTAATGGTTTTCATGACCATTTGAAATGGTTTCCAATTGGTTTTTTCCCAATTGGTCTGAAATGGTGTTTTCCATTTGGTCCCAATTGGTTTTGAAATGGTTTCCTAATGGAAAATAAATCCCATTTGATTTCAAATGGTGTTTTCCATTTGATTCCAATTGGTTCCAAATGGAATAAAACCATTTCATCCCAAATGGTGTGTCCCATTTGGTCCCAATTGGTATCTAAATGGTTTCCATATGGAAGAAATTCCCATTTGATCTCTAATGGTTTTTCCCATTTGATCCCAATTGGTGCCCAATTGGTCTCCAAATGGAATAAAACCATTTCATCCCAAATGGTGTGTCCCATTTGGTCCCAATTGGTATCTAAATGGTTTCCATATGGAAGAAATTCCCATTTGATCTCTAATGGTTTTTCCCATTTGATCCCAATTGGTGTCCAATTGGTCTCCAAATGGAATAAAGCCATTTCATCCCAAATGGTATGTCCTCAATTGGTATCGAAATGGTTTCCAATTGGTAATTTCCCAATTGGTCTGAAATGGTGTTTTCCATTTGGTCCCAATTGGTTTTGAAATGGTTTCCTAATGGAAAATAAATCCTATTTGATTTCAAATGGTGTTTTCCATTTGATTCCAATTGGTTCCAAATGGAATAAAACCATTTCATCCCAAATGGTGTGTCCCATTTGGTCCCAATTGGTATCTAAATGGTTTCCATATGGAAGACATTCCCATTTGATCTCTAATGGTTTTTCCCATTTGATCCCAATTGGTGTCCAATTGGTGTCCAAATGGAATAAAACCATTTCATCCCAAATGGTGTGTCCCATTTGGTCCCAATTGGTATCGAAATGGTTTCCAATTGGTAATTTCCCAATTGGTCTGAAATGGTGCTTTCCATTTGATCCCAAATGGTATGTCCCCAATTGGTATCGAGATGGTTTCCAATTGGTAACTTCCCAATTGGTCTGAAATGGTGCTTTCCATTTGATACCAATTGGTTCCAAATGGAATAAAACCATTTCATCCCAAATGGTGTGTCCCATTTGATCCTAATTGGTATCTAATGGTTTCCATATGAAAGAAAACTCCCATTTGATCTCAAATGGTTTTCCCATTTGATCCCAATTGGTGTCCAATTGGTCTCCAAATGGAAGAAAACCATTTCATCCCAAATGGTTTGTCCCATTTCATCCCAATTGGTGTCGAAATGGTTCCCAAATGGAAAAGCAAATCTGTTTTGAAATGGTGTCTCTCATTCTATTTCAACTGGTGTCGAAATGAAAAATGCATTTGAAAAACATTCAAGGGTCGTTTTAGGCAAGAAAACATACATATATGGCAATAACTTTTGTTCCATGAGATGAATAAAAGCAAAGTCCGAACAGTAGTCGGAGCTGGAGTCAATGTTTGAGTCAGAGTCGGAGTTAGAGTCATAAATCCACCACTTTGCAGCCCTGTTTCCAGATGTGTGACAAGTATGCTTCAAAAGTGTTTCTACCTTGATGGTCTCTAATGGTTTCAAGTGTGTTTTGAGTATGGACTGGGTATCTATTAGTTCCCAATTGGTACCCTAATGGTTTCTAATGGTTTTTAAACATATACAAATAATAGACTTAGAGGTAATGGGAAGACCTTTGACTGGTTATACTTGATAAGCATCACTACAAGGCCTTGTTTTTTCATTAAATAAAAATGATTCGCAAAATCCACGCCGTTTCCGCTCATTTAAACAGCACTACTTTTTCTCTGTGTGCCTACGCTGGCGGCGCCCGACCGTTGGCGCCAGCCGGCCGCGCGGGCCGCGCCGGCGCCACAGTTCAAATCGGGCGTCGACGTCGGCCGGCCGGCCGGCGCGCCACCGGGTTTCGCGTTCGCTGGGCCTGGGACTGCCCGCGGTCGACCGGGACCCAGTCCTGCTGTAAAAGAGGAAGCTGAGCAGAATCACGCGGCTGGTGAGTGACTTTTCTTGTGCCTCTGTATGCGATATTCGTTTTAGTCGACTGCAAATACTGAAAATAGTTATTTGAATAAATTTGGTTGCATTTGGCATCTTTGTAAGTACTGAGTTTAACAGAAGTGAGAAAGAGGCTTAAAATTTGCGATCACAATTTATTTTGCCAGCAGAAAATTGTCAGTGCCATGTTTGTTGTGGTCAGGCTGCCTAAATGACAATGCAAGTTGCATGAGCTTAAAGTTATTATATTGTGATATTTTACAAATGACCCTGTGTGGTAATTAATTAATTTGATCCCATCGCCCAATTAACCCGTGCTGTCCTGTACTGTTGCAGGCACGAACTTGCACCGGACAGACGCCGTCTACCGGCTCTACACGGGTCCAGATGGGCTGCATGCCTGCATTATAGCTACGTTCTGACTTCTGAAAATTCTGATCGCCACGGAAGATTAAGAAATCTATCTGTCAGAACAACAGACAGTATCACCGATCGGAATGATATTGTATCACATCGGTCATTGTGCCCATGTGGAATAGCGTACGTATGGCCCAGTGAATAACTACATTGTAATTCTGTTCTTGATTCTGATAGCAGTCGCCTCATCGATGTGGTGTTGACCATGCAACAACAATGTCCATGTGTAGTTAATGTCTAATGTTGGTAGGTACGTACTGATGAAAATGTATATGCTTGCAGAGTAAAACAATAAAAATAATTCACGGTGCAGTTTGTTATTTTGTGCATGAAATGCATGGACTTCAAAAGGATCTTCAAATGGTAATCCAGCTGCCCAGTAAAAAATACCATTAGAAATTACCAAATGGTTCCAAATGGGAAAAACCATTTGACTTATTGAACACTTTTCCAAATGGTTCCAAAGAGGTTCCATTTGAAATGTGTCCAATTGGCCACCAATTGGTATCAATTGGAACCATTTCATGACCATTTGAAATGTGTCCAATTGGTACCAATTGGTGACCAATTGGACATATTTCAAATGGTCATGAAATGGTTCCAATTGGTACCAATTGGTGGCCAATTGGACACATTTCAAATGGAACCTCTTTGGAACCATTTGGAAAAGTGTTCAATAAGTCAAATGGTTTTTCCCATTTGGAACCATTTGGTAATTTCTAATGGTATTTTTTACTGGGCTGGGCGGCCGTTCCTCCGCTGAGTAGACTCAGGGCGGCTCGCCAGTTCGAGCACGCGACGACCGGGGCGGGGGACGTCTCGTCCCGCAACCTCTCCAGAGCTGCCCACGGGGCGAATCTGCTGCTAGATTGACCAGCGTACCGCATAAATTCGGTGACTGTCTTTCGCCAAAAAAATATGCGACCGCCCTGCACCGAAAAATTCGTCCGCCGCCATGCGCTGAATTCGGCGCATGCGAAATTACGCCGGACGTGCGCTTAAATTTTCGGCGCAATCCCGCCACTACGCCGGACATATTCGGCTTAACGTGTATTTTTTTCCAGTCTGGACCCCATGTTGCATATTCATATGAACTGTAGATCAGATATTTTTTGATTAAATACCCATCTTTCATCCTTTCAGCATGCCTACAACCTACTAAACAGCCTTGGTATCAACCTACCATTCATACTTTATCTACACAGTACACATACATATTGATATATGGGGTATGTGGTTCAGTAGGTTATAGTAGGTCAGGTGCCTACATGCTATCATTTGTCATGCTTTGATTTCAGGTGGTGTCTTGTGGGCTTTATAGTGGGCTTTGTGGCCCTCTCTAAGTGCAAGGGTTAAGTGTTGATGCACATAATGCAATGTGTTTTTTTTTCCATGGGCGCAGGAACCTCACTTAAAGTGTGGGGGGAGGGGGCAGAGAACTTCAATGTCACTTTGTGGGAACCCCAATACCCCTATAAACAAATTCTTGGCAGTTTCGTGCTTATCTCACCTTGCCGAACAATTTCTTGCTCTTAGTTTTGAATTTAAATGAAAAATAAATATTTTACTTTAAAAATTAGCATAGCTTAAAAGTGGGGACATCCCCCCCCGATCCTAGACCTTTTTTTCTTAATGGTACAAATCATCCAGATTCATATGAGAAGGGTAGGTAGCTACCTACAAAATCAAATCAATGCCTCAATTGTTCATTGTTTTATTACAATAAGTCCCTCCTCTGCCAATCACACTAAACTATCTACTGTCACAATGCAGTGTGCGTCATGATTTCTCAACTCTATGCATACAATATATTTCCATTTGTCAATCACATATTGTTTTTTTTTACAGGCTTTCCGGTTATGACTGAGGCCAGCATCTCACGTGTCCTGGCTTATGGCTACGCCAAATCACTGCGGATGCCGGATGCCGAGGACCGGAGAGCCAACCGCTTTGAGGCGTGAGCTCTGTGGCGTGGCTCGAGTGATCACCAGGTTCTGACGGCTACGGCGCCGTCGACCTGGTTGAATAGCTGGGGCCTGGACGAGAGTGCCCTTAGTACGGTGGTCAATCGGTTACGTTCGAGGGGCGCTCGAACACGCTGCCGTCGCGTGGCTGCCGGCGGCCGCCCCCTCGCACGTGAATCTCCTGGAGCGAGGACTGCGGGAGGCGGCCGCATCATCACCTGTATCCGCGCTCAACACCGTGCCACGCACTAATGGCGGAAGCCCGACTTTCTCCGATGGAGGAGAGAAGCTGGACGCTGGCTGCCAGGCTGCTGGGGAGGGCGCTGGGTCTGCCATCAGGGGACCCCCTGCACGCGACCGCCGAGGCCTCGGCACCGGCGCGCCTGCCTTCGGTCCGAGGCTGGAGATTGCGAGGCCGCCAGGCCTGGGCGAGAGCGAGAATCCCACCGTGGCAACAGACGGCTGGCGTCACCTTCCGGTTGGACGTGTGCCCGATCCGGGCTGGGGCCACGGCGGCGGAAAGGGAAAGCGTGGCTACGCTGCACCTCGCGTTCCTGCCCCTGTGTGCTGTCCGGCTTTGGACGGACGGATCTGTGGAGGGCGGAGTCTTCAGGCGCTGGGCGGGAGCCGTGCTGGTCTGGCTGGACGAAGAGGTCGAGGAACTGCGGGCCCCGGCCGGAGAGTTGTGCTATAGCTACCGCGCGGAGATGGTGGCGCCGGTGACCGGTCCGGAGACCGTACTCGGAAGAGACAGAGACCAGGACCTGCGGTCTCCGGTCCGTACCTATCTGCTAACTGTGCGGTAGTGCTGGTGTAGTGCAACATTTTTGGATGGCTAGCTACATTTCACGATTAAATAGCTGGTACGTTTCAGTGCAGGTGGCGTGACGAACAATGTGTCTGTTGGCCACTTCTGCGGAAGCTGCCATTTCCTACTCGAAGGCGGGCGCGCTGTTTGGCTGGGCCGGCAGGATGTTCCCACTTCCCATTATGTGTCGACGGCAAAGCGAGTATATTCATGTTCTTTTAATGCACAGAAGTCTGTTGTATATTTGAAGTTTTATTTTAGGTTGACGATTGCGAAGGGCAGATTCATCTTCTCTCTTTCATTTGTGTTGCCACTTTAGCGTTCATGTTTGTCATAAGTGTCCTGGTCCGGCTTGGTTGTCATCTTTATTCGTGATGTATTTTATTTTACGAACATGCTGGTGATCAATGCAATACACTTTTGATTAATAATGCTGCTTTAGCTCTGATCCTTTGTGGTATGTCTTGATTGTACTACTGCGATAGTGATTTTTCCTCACCAAAATATGCAGGCAACAAATGTAAATGCTGCCAAAAGTTTGTCATTGCGTGATGTATCTAAAAGACATCAAGTTTCTGAACGTGGTCGTGTACTACGCAACCGGAAACTCAATAGGACGTGGAATGCTGTGAAGCAAAACTACAGAAGTGAGGCTGGCCACGCCAAAATCAAGTGAGATATGTCTAGCCTTTCTTCAGCCGCCAAGGCTTCGACAGACTATCCGCGGGTTCGGTGTCTCTCGAACTACGAAAATTCAACGTCGTCCGGCCAATCCTGGTTAAGGTCAGCGGGGACTTAGCTGTGGTTATGGAACAGGATTGGCCGTCCGAGAGACTCAGAACCTGGGGTATGTTGCAGCACAGCTATGTCGACCGAGTGTCGTCGCAAGCTACCCCTTTCGACGAGAAAAAGTAAAACCGTCCCGTCCTAGGCTGACTAGGCTTAGCTAGGTGGCAGCACAGTCGCGCCGGCAGGGGGCAGTGCCACAACCAGCCGACTGATATTTTCGTGTGACGTCAGAACCGGTGCCTCCCTGGAATACTACTACTCCTAGGCTATGTAACGGAAGTTAGCCCACATTCAGCCCACATTCGGCCCAGCCCAGATTGGGGCTGCCAAATCTAGGGAAAAGTCTAGAAATCTAGGGAAAAATCTAAAAACCGTTTTACGCCTAAACGGCTGGACGAAACTGAAAAATAAGACCACCATTTGAAAGATCTCTTCACCCCGGACCTAATGATATGGTTAAATACCGGATCAATTTAATCAAAAGCATGATTTAACCAGGATGAAAATTTTCGATCAATGGGGCGGCCCCTACGATTTTCTTCAAAATCGGCATGGTGATACTACAGGCCGAGATGATCAATCTGGCTGAAGAAACCCCTATGGGCATTGAAATCTATGGGGTAAAAACGCCCTTGGAAAGTTTAACCCACGCATTTCTGGCAAGTGTATCGCACGCATCCCCCCAATATGGGTATCATATGAAAGCCCATGAAAACCCAAACAAAATGGTGGGGTAAAATTTACCCATTACCCCATCCAGGGTAAAGTTTCCCCAAGATGAAAATTTTCGGTCAACGGGGCGGCCCCTACGATTTTCTTCAAAATCGGCATGGTGATACTACAGGCCCAGATGATCAATCTGGCTGAAGAAACCCCTATGGGCATTGAAATCTATGGGGTAAAAACGCCCTTGGAAAGTTTTACCCACGCATTTCTGGCAAGTGTATCGCACGCATCCCCCCAATATGGGTATCATATGAAAGCCCATGAAAACCCAAACAAAATGGTGGGGTAAAATTTACCCATTACCCCATCCAGGGTAAAGTTTACCCAAGATGAAAATTTTCGGTCAATGGGGCGGCCCCTACGATTTTCTTCAAAATCGGCATGGTGATACTACAGGCCCAGATGATCAATCTGGCTGAAGAAACCCCTATGGGCATTGAAATCTATGGGGTAAAAACGCCCTTGGAAAGTTTTACCCACGCATTTCTGGCAAGTGTATCGCACGCATCCCCCAATATGGGTATCATATGAAAGCCCATGAAAAACCAAACAAAATGGTGGGGTAAAATTAACCCATTACCCCATCCAGGGTGAAGTTTACCCAAGACGAAAATTTTCGTTCAATGGGGCGGCCCCTACGATTTTCTTCAAAATCGGCATGGTGATACTACAGGCCGAGATGATCAATCTGGCTGAAGAAACCCCTATGGGCATTGAAATCTATGGGGTAAAAACGCCCTTGGAAAGTTTTACCCACGCATTTCTGGCAAGTGTATCGCACGCATCCCCCCAATATGGGTATCATATGAAAGCCCATGAAAACCCAAACAAAATGGTGGGGTAAATTTTACCCATTAACCCATCCAGGGTAAAGTTTCCCCAAGATGAAAATTTTCGGTCAACGGGGCGGCCCCTACGATTTTCTTCAAAATCGGCATGGTGATACTACAGGCCCAGATGATCAATCTGGCTGAAGAAACCCCTATGGGCATTGAAATCTATGGGGTAAAAACGCCCTTGGAAAG